TGTAATGCCACTTTAATTGGTGATAATGGGACTTATCTGTGCTACTGATTATCCATGCTGCTGATCTCATTCTGCTGTATTCATTCATATTCATCTGCTCACCACAGACTCATGTTCAGGCTGTTGTTGTTATGCCATATTATTTTACATTATTAGTGTTTACCATCTCTTTTAGTGTACCGTTTGGCGTATATCTTATTTTATATTTTAGATCCTTATATACTGTTTCTTTTTACACTTTATATTTTTCTATTGTTGGGTGTAACTGGGACCTTGTGTACATAATTTTGTTCCACCTCATGTACCACATGTGATGCGAATGACAATAAACATGACTTGAACTTGACTTGAAGTTGTTAGCGAGGTTTAATAGTTCACTGCTGTAAGTCTCTGTATTTTTCAACAAAGAAACGTGAACGTGCCTGTTCACTGCTTTCCATGGATGTGAAATTAAACATCTAAACATGGAGAATGCTCTAAAACAAAGAGAATACACAAACAAGTAGAATTGTAAATTATTTTAGATTGAATAAAGTCAGAGGTCTCGTACAATTTTTAAATGGGGCAAATACAAAATAAACCAAGTATATAATCAAAGCAGTTTTCCATCCATTCTTCTCCACCAGGCTGCAGGGTGCAATAAGGATTATGGAGCAGAAGATACACTCGTTTTGTTGTTGAGGCGCTTCTACTTTGGAAGATAAGTATTTGTCTGCAGTGTCGTCCTGTCTACTTAGAGGTAGGAAACAAATGCCTGCAATATATTTAATACCCCTCGAGATCATGTTGCAGTAGGCCCGAGGCAGCCAATCATTCACAGGAGCTTACAGGCGACACAACAAAATAAATAAAAACTCAATATCAAAAAAGAGTGGGACATTATGCTTTAGTAGGCAATAAAAATTGTGGCATGTCAGGGATGGCAGCTGCTGCTGAAAGAAAGAATACCCAGACAGAACTGTGTGCCGGGCACTACAAGTCATGGGAAATGGAGACATAAATTCTCCTTAGACTCGCAATTTTGCTTTACAGTGTACAAAAGGCTGCAATGATGATCATGGCTAGGCTCTATCTGAGACACTTGGAATAAATTTGTATTTTTTATTATTTTTAAAAGCAACTAATTCCCATTGCTAAAGGATTTGAATAATGAATTATATGAGATAAGTGTTTTTATTATTTTTTTTACTGGAATTGGACAGGCAATGCAAGTAAACCTTAAATGAGTTTTATTTATTTATTTAATGCTTTTGCTTGTTTGCGGCAGTGCCGAGTGACAGATCCTGGCAAGTGGTGGGAGCTATTTTAATCATAACCACTGCACACTGGCAGAGCCAGGAAGTGCCCAGTGTTAGCCTTGGCCACCATAGATTTAACTTTGTTCGCCCCAATCACGAGAGGAGACAATAATTTTAAGTAATTTAAAAACTAGAAAAGCACAGACTTTCCTCACAGGATTAGTGTGGCGTGTTCACATTTATTTAGAGTTTTCATAAGTACATTTATGGTAGCAGCCATCTTGAACCAAGTGGAAATGCCCAAGGAGAAAGGGGGAGTGGGGCTGGATCACTGAAGCTTTAATGTAGTCTACCGATGAGGAGGAAGTGATTCCAGGTGTGCAACATGGTGTGACAGCAGGCCTGTAAACAAGCAAAGGAGGAGAAAGGTTGTCCTCTAGTGAGAGAACCCCTAGAAATCAGTGGACGTAACATTCACATTCAAGATTAAATGGTTTCCACACCATGCCACAAAGCGGTCCACCAGTTCCCTGTACTCAACTTCTTGTCCATCTCTGATACACCCGACCACTGCAGAGTCATCTGAATATTTCTGCCGATGACATGAGTCTGTTTTGTACTGGCACTCTGAGGTGTACAGAGTGAAAAAGAAGTGAGAGTAGAGTACCCTGTGGTGTTCCTGAGCTACTGACCGCCTGGTTAGACACACAACCCTTCAGTTTCACAAACTGTGGTTTGTTTGTCAGGTAGTCTTTAATCCAGGTGATTTTTGAGGTCTCCACCTGAGTCTTCTGGAGTTTCTGACAAAGCAAATCAGGCTGGAGTGTGTTAAATGCACTGGATAAATCAAAGAACATGGCTCTCACAGTGCTTTCTGCCTTTTCTAGATGACAGTGAGTTTGCTGAAGCAGGTGTATGACGGCATCTTCAACTCCAAGTCCATGCTGATAGGCAAACTGCAGTGAGTCCTGGTATGTGTTTGTTTGTTCAGTCAGGTGTGTCAGTAGAAGTCTCTCTAGGACCTTCATGATGTGGGATGCCAGGGCAACAGGTCTATAGCCATTGAGGACTGATGGGTGAGTTTTCTTTGGTACTGGAACAAGGCATGAGGTTTTCCATAACATTGAAACCTTCTCCTGGGTCAGGCTAAGGTTGAAGAGATGCTGCAGAACTCCACAAAGCTGCTCTGCACAGACCTTCAGGACTCTGGGACTGACACCATCTGGACCTACAGCCTTTTTCAGGTTCAGTCTCTCCAGCTGTTTCCTCACCTGACTTCTAGAGACGCAGCGGAGGGAGGCAAAGGAGGTATCAGCATCTTCTGTTTTGGTTGAAGGCCAACATGTAGAATAAGAAAGGTCCATGACCAAGGTGGTAGATAAAATATTTGAGGTGTGACAGGACAGCCTTGGGTCAAAGGAGGGTGGTATATCTGTTTGGCTGTGGGCAATAGAGGAGGATGCTGAGCTTGTTCCTGAACTGAACCTATTGAAGAACATGTTCAGTTCATTGGCTCTGTCCATGTTTCTATCCTTCTGATCATCCTTCTGCTTGAAGCCTGTGATCTTTTTTCATCCCTGACCACACCTCTCTGATATTGTTCCGCTGGAGCTTACTCTCCAACTTCTTGTACACCTCCTTCTGTTTCTGATCTTGACTTTTAGTTGCTTCTGTGTACTCCTCAATAATTCCCTGTCTCCCTCCCTGAGGGCTCTTTTTTCTTGTTTAGCAGTTCCTTCAGGTCAGTGGTGATCCAGTGTTTGTTATTGGGGAAGCATCTCACTGTTCTGGAGGGGATGGCATTGTTTATACAGAAGTTTATATAGTCAGTCATACACTCAGTCATGGCATTGATGTCCCCTCCATGTGGCTGGTACAGTGCATCTCAGTCTCTAGCCTCAAAACAACCCCGCAGGGCTTCTTCAGCTTTCGTTGAACATTTTCTAACTGTTCTCTTTATTACAGGTTGCCTCTGAACAAGGGGTTTATTTTTTGAGCAAAGAAGCACAAGATTGTGATCTGATTTGTCAAGAGGGGGTCTTGCTTAACAACATCTGCTTGACATTTGCATAAAACAAGTCCAGCATTTTGTTTTCTCTGGTAGAGCAGCTGACAAACTGTTGGATTGTTGGAAGTGTAGCAGAGAGTGAGACATGATTAAAATCCCCAGATATTGCAACAAACGCACTAGGGTGTTGTGTCTATAGCTTAGCAACCTCGGAGCTGATGACATCACACGCAATCTCTGCAACAGCATTGGGTGGAATGTAAACAATTGCTAAAATACCACTGGTGAGCTCTCTTGGTAAATAATATGGACAACAACTTAGTGTTAACAGTTCAATATCTGGACTGCAGGGATGACACTTCACAGTAACGTGTCCAGCATTACACCATCATTCTACCCTGAAGAATCATATCAACATATACAGAAACACATGTGATTCGCTTTTCTTGTTTTTCAAATAAAGTGTTTCCTGGTGCTTTTATAAACACACACAAAGGTGAAGATCTTTGTTTTATTCAGGAAGTTGCTGACACTTGCAAGCTCAGAGTCAATAAGCTCTGCGCTGCACCGATGCCTCATTCATTTAAACTTTCTTTTTCATCTTCTGTCTCTTCTCAGAGGTTTTGTCTGGAGGCAGGCCACAGTTACAAGGTCCAGTGGAACATAAATAGGAGTAATCTATCCATCCATCAATCCATCCATCCATTCATCCATCCATCCATCCATTTTCTTTAACTGTTTCTTCTTTTCGGTTTGTGTGGAACTAGCACTTATATCCAGCAGTCACAGTGTGAAAGCCCCTGGTACACCCTGGACAGGTCATAAGTCCATCACCATGCATCGCATAGACAATCGAGACAGAGAACCATTCACACTTTCACTCATTTCAAACAATTTTTAGAGTTAGCGATTAACCTGTTTTTTATTTATTTTTTGTTAGTAAACCAGAGTATCAGAAATAAAGTCATGCATGCATGAGAAGAAAATATAAACTCTTCCCAGAAAGACTGCAGACTGGGAGGCAATTCTGTAACCTTCATGTTGAGATGCAACAGCTCTAAACACTGCACCACCTTGACACCTGCATAAAAGTGAAGAATACCTGTCTGTACAAAAACAGTTATTAAATCAGAGATGCAAGTGCATCTAAAAAAAAG